ATTCCATACCACCATTTTCTTATATTATATGCACAACACATCATTCCATACCACCATTTTCTTATATTATATGCACAACACATCATTCCATACCACCATTTTCTTATATTATATGCACAACACATCATTCCATACCACCATTTTCTTATATTATATGCACAACACATCATTCCATACCACCATTTTCTTATATTATGCACAACACATCATTCCATACCACTATTTTCTTATATTATATGCACAACACATCATTCCATTCCACTATTTACTTATATGCACAACACATCATTCCATACCGCCATTTTCTTATATGCATAACACGTTGTTCCATACCACCATTTTCTTATATTATATGCACAACACGTCATTCCATACCACTATTTTCTCATATGCAGAACACATCATTCCAAACCACTATTTTCTTATATGCACAACGCATCATTCCATACCACAATTTTATTATATGCACAAAACATCATTCCATATCACTATTTTCTTATATTATATGCACAACACATCATTCCAAACCACTATTTTTTTTTATATTATACCCACCACACACATCATTCCATACCACTATTTTCTTGTATTATATCCACCACACACATCATTCCATACCACTATTTTCTTGTATTATATCCACCACACACATCATTCCATACCACTATTTTCTTATACCTCTCCATTTCTAAATCATTTGTCAGTCAATGGATTTTTTTCAATAATCATTCAAGTTAAAATGCTACTTTCTTGTAAAGTATTATACTTAATTTTGTATTTGCAGGGCTATTTTCAAATAACTGTTATTAATAAATATTTTATTTTTATTTATCAAACAAGTGTTTTCACTGTACATATATTCAAAGGCAGTGACTTTACGTTAGGTTTTCGTAGCTGAAGTAATTTAAACATTTTATAAGATGAATATATTAAGCAAATTCAGCTTGGTTCAATTGCAGAAGATGTCATTATAAAACTTTATGAAACCCTAGCTGTATTTATTGGAGAAGATCCAGCTTTTAGTAATGTTGTTTAAGCATCGTCTTTGTCTGAACTAGAGAATGACAACATATTTACTGTGCAACTCAAGCTCTTGATGTTGCTAATGATTCAGATGTAACTGATCAAGTGAATTCAAGACTTTTAGAGAGTATAAAATGAAAGAAAATTGAACTACATAACATTTATATCTCTTTAATGAAATACTCCATGACACTAACAAAAATACTGAGAAACAGCAACAAAATGTATTTGATGAGATGATGTGCTGAAAAGTTTGTTCTCACAACTTACTTTTATTCTTTTTGAAACATAACATTAGCCAGTATCACTTCAAATATACACAAGGTACGTTCTTCCAGAAATTACTATTCTAATATGGAATTAGGAAATAAATGACAAACACTTAAAAATTAATGCATTAATTATCTTATAAACTCCTTGTGTAAGTACATGAATCTTGTTCCTTCACTACCCATTTAAGCATTAGATGTATCACAAACATTAAATAAGGGAGTATATAAAAATAATTAGCTTAAATCATTCCTTCATACTGTTGTTTTTTTTGTTATCACACACATCTTCTGAAACCTTTCATTTTGGTTACTGGACACATACATCCTCGCAATTTGATCTAATTCTGTTGTCACTAGATGTTCAGTTCAGTCACAGTATTTTACTAATTCAATTGTTTTTGTTAACAGATTACATATCAGTTATGTTCAGACACATAACATTACTCATAAGTACTTACTGAGTGAATCCAAGGATTTCTAAAATAAAATTTATTTTATTCACCTAGTTTATACGTCATCACTAAGGAAAAGAGCAGAATTTCATACTTATAAAGATTATTTCACTTCCACCAGAATTAGTTTGACAGAACTTATAAAAACTGACAGTTCAAAGATATGTTAACAACACACACACAAAAACAGAAACACACACTGATAAAACTAAACACCATGATTGAATTTTTAAAAAACTTGTAGACAATAGTTTTTAGATGATCTATATGTGGACAGTGTAGGATCCCAAAGATAATGAAAAAAATCTGAAAAACATCATACAGTATTTTTAACTAGTGCTTATTTTTTGTTTTTGACAGGCCCACGTGGTGGTGTTACAGGTCGTCCAGAATTCAAACCTCCATATTGGTACTTGGCTTTTTTCTCGGATGGTTTAAGTATCTGTGAGTTTTAGAAGAAAAAAGAACAATAAGGAAAAATAACAGAAAAACCACCATTACACCTAAAATAACATTACTGTAGAAATAATACTAAAAAAGTCAATGGTTACAACATACATGATTCTGTCTAAAGAATGTTGCCAAGTGCTTGTAACTTTTATTTCCATTATCTAGTTAAGTTTTGGTTGAGTCATGAACATTAAATTAGGAAACATGTATTTTAAAAAAATATATTAGTTTAAGTTGTGCTTTCGCTCTACTCTTTTCTTTTATCCTTGAACACATCTTAAAAAGATAACAGCAATCAACTATTCAGGAAGTGTTATTACATAATATGGTCATGCTTCTGTTCGGACCTTGGTTAGACACGTCCATAAACATAAAACTTTGAAAGTGTATTTTTAGTGTTGTACCAACTGTCACATTTCTATTCAGAAGCTGTTTTTACCCAATATAACTATGTATGTATTTTAGGATTTGTCATCCAAGTTCTTCCCAATACTTCAGTAATAAAAAACTGATAAAGTAGTGCCAAAGGTAGTTTAGAGGATCACCAAGCTCCGAGATGCTAGAGCAACTTCCTTTTTACTGATTTAAGTTTTTATAAAAGTATATACCAATTCACCAATAAACTTTACACATATATTGAGTGCTTTTATTTTCTTAGCCTTATTATTGTTTAAGCACCTAATTAAAACAATAGTGACTGAAATTTTAAGCATTTGACAGTATCATCCACAGTGGACAGATGTGTGAAAGTCATTAATATTTTATACCAGTCAATATCCACCAGCAGTGGTTGAAGCTCAGACAGTACTCACATCTTTGAATAATATTAGTCCTTAATATACAAAGGGTTGAAAGTACATTCATTTAAGTTATTTTTTTTTAATAAGCAAATCACCTAATCATGTGACAACCACAACCATATAAAGTTGCATTGGAACAGCATGTTCATGTGATGCACTGAAATCTGATTGCTTTTGGAAACCCTTTCCAAGCAAAATATTTATATACTCATATCATAGCCATGGTAAGAAAAGTGTGACATCTTGTAACAGGCAAGAACCTAGTGATAAAAGCCATTCATGTGTCACAGGCAATAGTAAGCAACATACGCAAGTTGCTACCATGACATATCTGTTCAACTTTTATATATCTCAAGTAGCTGGAAAATGAAACTGGTATTCATACTGATCCATTCACAAAAACATACTGAAGTCAGTACCTAACCTGTCCTTATAAATTAGATGAGTTATGAAAGGCCTTCAGAGAAGGGGATGTGCTTTGGATATGACAGCCTTTTATAATGGAAACTATACTGCAGGGCTATTGTCAAAATGCATGGTCATCAGATAAAGTATAACCAGGTGTGGCGACATGGATTATAATAACGTGGTGAGGCTCCAAAATCATTTTAATATAATGTACTCAATCTTCATATTCCTTTCTTTTGTTTGTTACAAATTAATGCAACTTTTGTGATGAAGCTGAAAGTTAGTATACAAACCTGGAATGAACACATTAATGTCTCATCAACTGACATCATTCCTCCAGCATTGTCAAATTCACCACAATAATTGGGAGCAGAAAACAAGGTAACTAACTGCCTCTTTGCAAAGAATTCATATCCATCTTCTACAACCTGGAAACAGAATTAAAACATTGTATCACAGACTGATGAATGTATGTTACGCAATTAAACGATGAACATTTGTATATGCATATAACTTATGATATATTATTTGAAAACAAATGGATGGTGCTGCTGTTTATTTATTGTTGAAGTTTATCGTCAACAAGTCACAGACGCCTACTGTAAAGAATCCAGCCTACAAACCCTGACAGCAGCAATATGGTTTAGGGCTTACGATTACAAAGTGTCAACAGAAACCATTGCAAGCAACTATTTCAAGCCAAAAAATGCCAATGCTTCATCAGAAAAATGTAGACTATGTAAAAAAGTTAAATACCATAAACAGCTGTGCTATAACTATAAAAGCACAATTTTTTTACATCAGAAAAACAGGGGGTTTGGCTGCCCCCCCCCCTCAAACACCCCCATGCATACATGTAAAATATGGTACATGTTGTGTGGAAGTTTTTGTAATATATATAATTTTACTCAAGTGAAAAACACACATTACATAAAACTTTGTGAATTAACTTTATTTCATTAACCCCGTGTATACTTGTGTGGTCAAAGTGTGCATATCACAACCTTTTATAGTTACATTCAAAATTTAATTCAAGTTAGTTTATGTTCAATGTTTATCACTAAACTGAGCAACAAAACAGTATATCATTCAACTTTTTATATCTAGGAGGTTCTGAAGGTTATGTAAATGAAAACTGTAAGATTAAAAAAAAAATTTTTCATTCTTAACAGGAAAATCAACTTGCATTCAAACTAACCATGCTCAGCCATTAAATTGATAAATAAATCTGTAGTAGAAATACTTTATTAATCATCAACTGATAACATAAAATATTTGTATCATAAATGGTGTAGGGTGGGCCAAAATGAGATGCAAAAAACTTCTAAAATATTATCTTTATAATAGTGAAGGTCAGAACGACCCACAAATGATTACAACAGTAAGAAAGTGAAATGAAACAGCAAGTCCACTCTGTTCAACACTCAAGAACTGACTGAGATAGAGTACAGAAAATACCAGGTAGAGAGCAGCACTAGCCAAGTTGAATATCGACTTGAAAAATCAAAGTGGGTCATTTAGACCTCACCCTACCAGTTGAGGGTTAAAGTTCTGATTTTTTGTGTACAACATATTTATAATGTTCACTAAAAACTCAATAAATTTCATTAAGATACACTAAGTAAATTCAGAATTATGGTAAACATTAATTCTCCAATATGAGATCAGTCCAATGGATAGACACCATGCATGTGAAAACATATGATCTTTGTTCTAACTAACAATTTATTATTCTTTATACTCATGTTTTTGTCTTGTTTGAAATACATAATAATACAAGTGAAATTAGAAATTTTAATATGCTTAATTATGACAATAGCCTTTTGTAACTCATTAACTCAAATTTTATGTATTTTTTCCTGGTTAATATTGGTTTTTGAATAATTTATGTAAATGATCAAATGTTTTAATTTTTTTCTCTAAGTATAATAATCTAACATATATAAATGACTGGCTAATTACAGGATCTGTCAATGTCAACAAGTATTGACTTGACGACATAAATCAAGAGATAACATGTTAAGCTAACACATTCTACTGTTTATAGAACATTTTGCATAACTTGTGATAGTCAATACTGTACATAAAATCTTGTGATATTGTTTATAGTAAATTGTTTAAAACAAGTCTTGGAAACAAATCCTGTAAAAACCTTACTTGATGTGCTCTACAAATTAGATCCAAGTCATGGCGGTTGAGGAACTTGCTCACAACATCAGCACCAAATGTGAAAGAAACTCCTCGATCATTCTCTCCCCATCCTTGTACATCTTTGTCAGGGTCAGACCAGAGAAGATCACATAATAACCCTATTTAAGATACAAGTTTAAAACAGTGAACGATGGGAGGACAAAAATATTATTACTTTATATTCTTAAAAAGCGCTAAGAAAAACAGAAGCTACTGTTAACTTAATGAATAAAGATATGATCACAATTTATGTCTATTAATTGCTATTTCATGCTCTGAACACTATTATTAACAAGAAAATTATTTATAAGTTGAATAACATTGAACAAGGCTCAATTAACCCTTTCAAGACGGGTCACAGGTGAAGGCCATGTCATCTCGTTTGTTGTCAAAATTTTATTGAACTACTATTTCATGAATTTTTGTCAATAACTTTGGTATCAAACTGTAGATTATAATTCAAATTTTAGTACTATACATTACTCAATTTGTTAATTTATAAAAGTAAATATTTAAAAAACATTGATTTTTGTGTGTCACGTGGTATGTTGAATGTAGCTCTGGTTCAAATTAACTATTTGTGAAGTCAAAATACTAAGTCTATAGTTTCATACAAATTAGAAACTCAAATTACATAT